ATTTATATACGTGAGGTTTGTGTCAGCATTATTTTTAGAGCAAAAGGTTGTAAATAACTAATTATCCATGAATAGAGAGAACTGAAGATGAGTGTGTTATAGTTATATCAAAGACGACATTAGAGACATTTAAAAATGGTATGCACAAAATATATTCATATTATTAAATAAAAAAGGGAAAACTATATTACACTTCCATTTATGAATAAACACATAAAAATTAATTCATTTTTGGCTATGCTAGACTAGCTTGGAAAGATATACAGGAATCTAATAGGGATGACTGGCTCAAGGGAGGAAAAATGGGAGATGAGAGACAAAGATGAAAAGATGACATATTTACTACATACCTTAATCTGCATATTGAATTGTTATATATATATACGTGTGTATGTGTGTGTGTGTGTGTGTGTATGCCTACTCTTTTTTTTTTTAGAGAAGAGGCATTAAGAATTCATGCCGTAAGTTTATTTACAAACACATCTAGTTACTGAGTTCAACAGTTGGATACATTTTTCAGAGACTGCACCTCTTAAAATGCTCCTCTTCATATCTGTTTCATGGATTAACTAAAACAGCCTCATTTTTTAAGCAGTTGGTGTCTTACTATAAAGAAAGGTGGGGCAAATCCAGATCCAAAGAACAAAGTTCTCATAGCTAGTAACCAACACTTGTTTTCCACTGAAAATGGCAAATTCTTCCCTGGACCTTCCTCATAGTGGCTTCTAAGGGCCACAGAGATGAACCTCCGAATGCTCTGTCCCAACATTTTGCTGTTGGAAGCCCTGCGAAAACCACAGAAGCTGAAAGCAGAAGAAACGGTGGTACTGCACCAATCCTTTTTTCTATATGCCTACTTTTAAAAAACAACAATTAATTTCAATTAAAATCAAGTAAGTGCACTGACCCTTTATCAAGAAACTTCACCTCTGCACCTCCAATCCTTCCCCACAAGTCCTCTCCAACACACCACCTACACCTCTGCTAGAGGTAGACTGCGTGGGTTACTGCCAAATGCACTCTGTGGCCCATTCCTCAGTGATCTACAACTGTTGGTAAGTTTCTCTCCCATCTGGAACATGCTTCTTTCCACCACAGCTGGCACTTTTAGACCCAACTCCAATGTCACTCTGCCCAAGAACCATATCTGTCACTCAGATCCTCATTATGCTTTCTCTCATCTGAAATGCGATGTTTGTAACATAGGACTCAAAAATGAGTATATCTTTTCAAACAACCAGCTATTGGTTTCATTGACTTTTGTATTGTATTTTTAGACTCTATTTCATTTATTTCTGCTCTGATATTATTTCCTCCCTTTTACTCACTTTGGACTTAGTTAATTGGCGTCCCCCCCCCGCCCCCCATTCCTTTGAGTGTAAAGTTAGATAGTTTATTTGAGATTTTTCTGTTTCTTGAGGTAGGCCTATAATGCTATGAATTTCCTTCCTAAGTCTGCTTTCGCTGTGTCCCATAGGTTTGGGGTTGTTGTGTTCTGATTTTCATTTGTTTCAAGATATATTTTGATTTCTTCCTTGATCTCATTGTTAACCCACTCATTGTTTAGTAACATGTTATTTAACCTCCACGACTCTGTGTGTTTTCAGTTTTTTTCTTGTGATTTATTTCTAGTTTCATACCATTATTATCAGAGAAGATGCTTGATATGATTTCAGTCTTCTTAAATTTATTGAGACTTGTTTTGTGCCCTAATATGTGGTCTATCCTAGAAAATGTTCCACATACACTTGAAAAGAATGTATATTCTGCTGCTTTGAAGTGAAATGCTCTGAAGATATCAATTAAATACATCTGATCTAGTCTGTCATTTAAGACCACTGTTTCCTTGTTGATTTTCTGTCTGGAAAATTTACCCACTGATGTCAATGAGGTGTTAAAATTCCCTACTATGACTGTATTACTGTCAATCTCTTCCTTTATGTCCATCAAGATTTGCTTTACATATTTAGGTGCTCCTATGTTAGGTGCATAAATATTTACAAGAGTTATATCCTCTTGAGTTGCTCTTTTTATCCTTTTATGTGGTGTCCTTCTTTGTCTTACTATAGCTTTTGTTTAAAAGTCTATTTTTTCAGTATTGTTTCCCCAGCTTTTTTTTTTTTTTTTCACGAAATATCTTTTTCCATCCCTTTACTTTTAGTCTCTGTATATCTTTTTTTCTGAGGTTAGCCTCTTGTAGACAGCATATATATGGGTCCTGTTTTCTTATCCATTCAGCTACCCTATGTCTTTTGATTGGAGCATTTACACCATTTACATTTAAAGTCATTATTGATAATATGTATTTATTGCGATTTTATTCTTTTAACTATGTTCTTCCTGCTCCTCCTCTTCCTCCTCCTCCTTCTTTTTCTTCAAGCAGACTCTTTAACATTTCTTATAATACTGGTTTGGTGATAACAAACTCTTTTAGCTTTTTCTTGTCTAGGAAGCTCTTTATTCCTCCTTCTATTTTAAATGATAGCCTTGCTGGTTAAAGTAGTCTTGGTTTTAGGTCATTGCTTTTCCTCACTTTGAATATTTCATGACAATCCGTCTGGTCCGAAATGTTTTTGTTGAGAAATCAGCTGACAGTCTTATGGAAGCTCCCTTGTAGGTAACTGACTGCTTTTCTTTTGCCACTTCTAAGATTCTCTCTTTGTCTTTAACCTTTGCCATTTTAATTATAATATGTCTTGGTATGGGGCATCAGTAGATGAGCGGATAAAAAAGCTGTGGGACATTTACGCAACTGAATACTACTCAGCTGCAAAAAAAGAAGAAAATCTTACCTTTTGTGACAGCATAGATGGACCTGGAGAGTATTATATTAAGTGAAATAAGCCAATCAGAGAAAGACAAATACCATATGATTTCACTTATATGTGGAATCTAATAAACAAAATAAACAAAATGGAGACAGAATCATGGATAAAAAGAAGAGACTGATAGCTGCCTGAGGAGAGGTGGTTGGGGGCTGGGTGAGAAGAGAACAGTATGGTGATTGCCAGAGTGAATGGGGGTGGGGGAGGTAGAAGAAGGAAAATCAGGGATAAAATGTGATGGAAGAGACTTGACTTGGGACGGTAAACACACAATACAGTGTACAGATGATGTATTGTAGAATTGTATACCTGAGGCCTATATAATTTTATTAACCAATGCCACCCCAATAAATTCAGTTTTTTAAAAAAGATCCCAAACAAAAAGAATATAAAATTCTATTTAGATTGTTGGCTACTTCTTCTTGTAAATTAGTCTTACCTTGGAAACTACATTAAATGTCTTGAGAGCAGGAAGGCAACTCCACTCAAATATTTTTGTACACTTAACACTGCCCAGCTTAGGGATGAATATAGATTGGGGGCTTACCATATCGTTGGGTGGAAGACTGAATACTGGGGGAAAGACTAAATAGCCTCTTTATACATTTTGAGCTCAAAGATTTTTGGCTGTGAGACCACATCATCAGAACATGACTCTCTCAAGGAAATTCTAAAATCCTAGAGTGTTAGAGAAATATGACAATATCCACTGAGGTAGGGAAGGTAACATAAATGTGTAAATAAATAGGCAGAGTATTGGAGTGATGGGCCTTGAGGATGAATTAAAAAGCAAGAAACCTGCTTGATGGTTTTAAATATCCAGGTGTAAAAATAAAAACAATAACAACAAAAAAATATTTCTTCAGGAAAACAGCAGACATCCAGAGTAGATGAGAACATTTAACTAGATCAGCAACTAGTTTATGACCTTAAGTCAGAAGTGCCCACTAACCCATCTCTGCAGGTAGTTATCTCCATGACCAAATAGAGTTCTATAACATGGTAAAAACAAAACAAAAAACAGTTTTAAAAAATCAGCTGTTAAAGGAGCTCTAACTCAGCTGGCATGACTCAGTGGTTGAGCATCAACCCATGAACCAGGAGGTCACGGTTTGATTCCCGGTCAGGGCACATGCCCAATAGGGGACATGCAGGAGGCAACTGATCAATGACTCTCACCACTGATGTTTTCACCTCTCCCTCTCCCTTTCTCTCTCTGAAATAAAAACACTTAAAAAAAACTCTTGCCTGGCCGGGTGTGGCTCAGTGTTAAGCGTGGACTTAGGATCCAGGCGATCAGGGTTCGATTCCCGGTCAGGGCACATGCCCGGGTTGCGGGCTGCAGCCGATCAATGACTCTATCATTGATGTTTCTATCTCTCTCCCTCTCCATTCCTCTCTGAAATCAATAAAGATATAAAAAAATAATAAAATAACTCTTTATGCAAGTCTCATTAGTGTGTCTCCATGGAAGACAGTGTTTACAATCTCTTCCCACCCATCTGCAAGCTTAAGGCCACACAGACTGGGAGGCACTCCTTCCTGCCTCCCACAGTGGCATTTAGAGATACTACAACCTTGGCCTTTACCTGCCACATCAGCCATGGTCCCCTTCATGTACCTCTGATTTCCTTTCACATAGCTCGTAACATCAAAGCTCTCCATTTCCAAGCCATAACCAGACTCTGCCCTCCCTAAGCTTGTACTTCTCACATATATTTCCAGTATAGAGAGGGCAGTTTATGAAGATTCTCTGTCTCTCTCAAGAGGTGTCCTGTGTCCCTAAACACTCAATTTTCTAGGGACAGATGACCAGAAAATTATCATGAAGGAGAGAACCAAGCCATCAGGCTGGTGTAGTGTGTGGAGAATGAAGACAAAGTGGGAGCATAGACACTCCCTGTGAGTGGGCACTTTAGTCTCTGGCTCTGTAATCTTTACAGACACCAGACATACTCATCGACAGACTGAATCACCACACAAGCTTCCCTAAGACATATAAGTCTTTGACACTACACCTGCCTTGTGAAACAGAAGGTCTTTGTGATGCAGCTTGGTGACCTGGTTCCACCCTCTGTGAGGTGGAGATGACAAGGTCTAGCATTGGGGGTCATTAGCTACTAATGACCCAGAAATAGGGATGGGTAGTCTCCTCATGCTTATGAAGTTTAGATCATGTTGAACCCTACTTTTTTTCTGTGGGATTTGATGTATCCCTTATATACCTATGGCTTCATCTTCATTATTATCCTAATTATCTGGCAAGTGAAAAGGAGTTACCAAGGGTTAAGGTTAAAACCTAGAAGGAGCTGCTGTCAGGTAGGGAAACACTATGACTATGATTAACCTAATTAAGCCTCAGATAAGAAGCTTTTAAGACCTCAGAGCCTCTCCTTTTACCCTCTCTGCCCATTATTATACCATACATTTAGTTACTTTAATATGGTACTTTTCTTCTCAGAGACTAAAAATAATTCCTTACCAGGCTATCCCTGCAATGTATTCTAATTGAAAAATCAAGAACCAGACTATCAACCTTGGGTAGAGACCTAGATTCAGTGAAATCTTTATCAATGGATCTCAGAAGACTTCCCAATATGGAGGATTCTTCTGGTTAGTGGTCCATTAAGATATTTGTTAGCAAAGGTCCTTTGGCTATTAGACCTACACACCCTTTAATTTGTTCAACTCTTTCTCTTATTTCATCATAAATCTCACATAGAACTTCTCCTGAAAATAGATGGGGGTTATAGAGTATGGAACAGTCTTGAAATGAATCAGAAGCAAGAAGAGAAGGGAAATGTTGGGGTGAAAAAAGATGGAGATGGAAATGAAAGTAAATAAAAATACAGGCAGATAAACAGAAAGGGATTAGAAAATGTATATTTGATTTGTCTCATTTTGAACATAAAAATTAAAAGTGTCTCAGCTTCACACTCTATTTTGTCTTTAAGCGTCACCGAAAACTCAGGCAAAGGGCTAGAGATGCAGCGTCAAGAGGTAAAGTTCCAGTCCCTTCTCTGACTCCCCTCCACTGTGGGCGAGGGTCCCACTGATTTTGTCTCCCTTTCACCTTTGGTGCTGGGAACAGGTGCTCTAACCACTAAAGGTTCCAGTTCCTCAAGGTGACAAATTCTCCCAGAAGACTTCCTTGGGTGGGAAATCAGAGCCTGTAAATGTTCCAAAATCCTCCACCTTACCCAAAAAATGAAGAGTGAGGAAGTAGTAGCGGGTCCTCAGCTGTGCCATTTACTAGTTTTATGACCCTGTGGAAGTCACTTCATCTGTTATCCTTTATCCAACAAATGGGCGTCTGAAGATCATGCCTCACTCACAGTGCAGTGTGAGGATCTAATGAGATTAGGTCCTGGACAGCACATCATAACTGGTTAAGTTGTACCCAGACATGCCCTAGAGCACTGACTGTTGGGGCTTTCAGGCTCTTCTCATTGAAAGGCCTTCAGCTGCCTATAGGATGTCCCTGAATCCTCTCTCATTCCATGTAACACTGTCGCCTGATTTCTCAGCTAGGAAACATTCCTGCAAAGAAGCTGAGAAGCCATGGGAGCTGCTCTCTGTCATGAAAAGGTGATCACTTGCTGCCTGTAGTCTCCCAACTCCAGCCTGGACTGTGATGATTTCTCTGCTTGGCCTGGGCAGGGATGAGGAGAGGGATGATGACTGGGAGGGAGTCAGACACAGCGGAGGTTGGAGCACTGGGTGAGAGGGTTGCCAGGGCAAAGGGAACTCAGACATCTCAGGAGAGAGGAGTCTCCCAGTTCTACTCTGAGCCAAGCTCACAATGCTCCTGGAATTCAGAATTTGACTAGTGCTTAATTCATAAAAGATCCTACATGGGTTTGTACTCAGCCAAAAGACCAGTTATCCAACAAAGAGAATGGATAAATATGTGCATAAATAAGTCATCATTGTCATATTCTCCTTACAGCTACACCCTTGCAAGGGCAGACCCCTAGACCCTGCTGACATTGCATTCTCTAGTTCCATCTTCAGGGAGCTCAGTTCCTGGGACAGCCTTCAGCCAGGAGTCAGTTATCTCATCCTCCTCTTAAGAGTTCTAGAGAATTAGATTGGCTCCCACGAGATGCTATTTATAGATACAGTGACTTCTCAGAGTTTCTAGAATGCAGAATTCCCACATGAACCTTAATTTCCAGAGTTTGGAAATATTGACTATCAGACTGTGGTTTTCTTACCCCAAATGAGACTCACTTCGGGTTCTACTTGGTGATATTCCAGGTGATGCTCCATCAGCTAACCATTTGCTCCCCCATCTGCCATCTTTCCTTCTCCTGGTTCAACTTCTCGACATGGGTCAGCAGAGAACTCACCCCACCTCCCAGTTGTTACAGCCCTGTGTTCCCATGGATGGTCTGAGACCTTGCCCTACAAGCCACTGGTCCTCACACCAGCACACTATAACTTGCCAAATGGCATTTTATTACAAAGAAAAGTTGAGGAGTAAACATCAGAGGGTGAGGGAGATGCCCCAGGGTGTACAGGACTAGGGAGGGAAGGACCAATCTTAAGGCCACAACTTTCAAAAGAGGTAGATGTCAGTACATCATTAACAGTTGCCATGTTTTCTCTTCTAGCCAGAGCTGGCTTCCTCAGGAGGGAAGTGTACGAAGGCTTCTGTGTGCAGATACTTACTGCGAAATCTGTAATGCCATGGCATTGAAGATTCAGCGGTTGCTGGTGGGTGAGAACACCCTGATCTCTCCCTTTACATTGGGACCATCAGAGGGCTCCTCTTGCCTAGAGATTTTGTCCAAGTCCAATGTGTATTTTGAGCAAAGTCTGGAGCATCATTCCATGCACTCCAAAGAGCGTTCATTTCCATCTGCAACCCCTTCAGTGTCACAATTAATGGATCAGAAATCCTTAACCTGGTCAACTGCCCAGTCAATCAGTTCAGTTAACATCCAAGATTATGGGGCAGAAAACCTCCGGCTAGAGCAGACACTTCAAGGGCAAGAAATGCCAGTGGATCCAGAGAATATGTCTTCTTCAAGGTTTAAGGAGCCTAAGAGTACAGTGAAGCAGCAAAACATATTGAAAAGAAACCTCAACTTTGTGTACCGGAAACAAGGTCAACAGCACTTGCATCCCCAAGACCCTCTGCTGACTCTGAACCGTGAAATCACTGCCCTGACACATTCTATGGCCTTGCCTATGGTCACTATCCTCCCTACCCACCTGCCATTCTCCAGTCCTGAAGTCCTGCATCTTCTTGAGGTACATGTAAAAAAATGGATGCATTTCCAGAGGTGGGGGCTGCCCAGACGGGTAGAGGAGTCCCTGAGGCAGCTTATGCCAAACCTGCCATTATATTACCAACCTGTAAACAAGCAGCCAGTTTCTTTCATCCAAAATGACATTGCTGAATTCTCTGTAGAGAAATTTGCAACCATTTCCTACCAGACCTGGGGTTCATGTATGGCTGGCCAGGCTACCCAGGCATTCTGGGTCTCTGAATGGTCCATTATAGACCCAATACAAAGACACCACTACCAGCAAAACCCAAACCATGTGGTTCTTGCCTTGCCTTCTCCAGCCCTCAAAGGCTTAAGTGGCCTCTATTCACTTCATGGGCAACAAGCTAATGACACGCTGAGCCATTTAAAGCAGAAATATGTCCAGTTATTCTGTGGTCTCCCTTCTCTGCACAGTGAGTCTCTGACTGACACCTTCTTGGGCTCTCAAGATAACTTGACAAACAGGACCATGTCCAAGCTAACCTTGAAGGATCCTTTTCTCTTCAAGGAGCCCTCCTTCCTCCCCGTGCAACCTAAAACTGCACCCCAGTCAGCCCCACTCTCTTCCCCATCATCCCCAAATTGGGTCATGCCATCTGGCCATCAACAAGCTCAGATCAATGTCCCATTTCTGACTCTGGCTGAGTGTGAAGCCTTAGAGTGGCACCTGCTGCAGAGGCAGCTCCAGCGTCAGTGGGGTTTGCCAGTTGCTTTACAGAGAACTCAGCACACCCAGAGCCCCATGCAATATAAGTCCTGTCACAAAGCACAGTCTCCTAAGACAGTGAAAACTTCCTGGCCAGGGCAGTCCATCCCTGTCCTCACAAGGGAACTGTTCTGGCCAGAGCATGCCCGGAGGCTGCTGGAATTCCACCTCCAGAGGCAGTTGATTCACCATCGCTGGGGCCTGCCCCAGATGATCCAGCAGTCCTTCCAGTTGCTCCTGTCCCCCACTCATCATCAGACTCCGTCCTGGAGCAGCAAAACCCTAACCAATGTGAATGTTTCCCAACCCTCAGCTCCAGAAGTCACTGGTGCTGGTGACCATTTCTCACCCTTTAAGGACACAGTGTCAGTCCTCATGCCACACTTATTTGACCAGGTCAAGGCAATACTGCAGAGCCACATCAATTCCAAATGTGGGCAGATCCATGAAGGCAAGATCCCTGTCCATGTGTATAGGTCTTGTGAGTGCATAATTCCTGGGGGCCTCACAGTGGCTCCCTTCACCTGCATCCCAGAAACCAAGTCCCCGGAGCTACAGGCAGCAACCCACCCTGACCTACAACAGAAGGTTATGCCCTGGATGCCAATAGACCCTGATCAGCAGCAACAGACCTCAGAAGATGCTGTCACTGAACAGCCGGGGCTACCCCAAGCCCTGTCCAAGGAAGTCCTTCAGAAACTGGANACTGGGACTACCCCAAGCCCTATCTAAGGAAACCATGGATCAACTGAAGACAACTTTACGGCACAAGTATCTGGCCTTTTTATCAGGGCTCCCCCCTCTTTCGTATATGGCTCCCCCCAAGGCCATGTCCTCAGCAATTGCTAGTGGAGCTACAATCACAGACGTGGTTCCTGAGGCTGTCAAAACCTTAACACAACCTCTGACTCAGATGATTTCACCTGAAGAGCAGTGTCTAAGTCGTGGGCCATGCTTTCAAGATACCAATGAGGCTTGTGCAGGAATTGCAGATGAGGTTCAGTCTGAAGCACAGGTGGAAGGAATGATTGAGATGGAGCCTCTAGAAAGCCAGACAGAGTCTGCTAGGCCCTACTTATTCAAGAAACCCATCTTGGCCAGACTAAATTTCCATCTGAGAAGGAAGATCCTAGAGATACAATGGGGAATTCCCACAAAGGCAAGGGAGTCCAGGGAACAAACTGTAGCCATCCCAGAGGATATATCCACACAGGAGTCTCTTGGGAGTCTAAACAACCAAGGAAAAACATTGCTCCAGGAACTGCTTATCACACCACACACTCCCCATGCCCCAAATCTAAAATGGCTCTACCTTAAGGAACAGCTGGTCACAGAGTTAAAGGCAGTGCAGCAGAACCCAAAGCAGCCTAGTTCCAGAGTAGCACCTCATGGTTCTGTCCACAGTTCCTCCAAGATGTCACAACCCAGTAGAGACATGACAGAGGGCCCAGTGCTTTGTGTTCAGCTGGAGGCCAGTGTGAACAACCCCATCCTGGAGGAGGTGCAGAACCCTGAGTCCCTAAGCCCTGGCAAGAGCAAGGACCCAGCCCAAGTCCCCATGCTGGCTGAAAAGAAAGAAGGCCCAAGGAAACCTAGATCTGCAGGAAAATGTGGAGAAGGAGATGCAGGGTTTGCACTCTCCTCAACAAGAGAAAAAAGCCATCCTGTTGAAGCCCAGAGACCAGATGGGATGCTCCTGAACAGGACACCCCAAAGCCCCTGGCGATGGAAACATAGCTTTCACCTTGATGCTCCCTGCAGTTCCCAGCATCACTCTCAGCTTAATCCCCCAGAGCTTCCTCTAGGAAACCCTGAGGGTAAAGAATCTAAGGAGAATGACCTTCAAGACAGTCAAACCAGGCTCAATGTGTGTCTCAAACAAGCAAGGACTCCTAAGAGTACCCAGCCTATAGGGCCCCTGGGGTTACATGGCCAACCTGTCCTGGGCCAACTCATTCAGCATAAGCTATTACCGGGCCGAAGTTTGCAAGGTCAGGTTTTTCAGGGGCAGGTGCTGCCAGCCCATACTCACAAGAAGCCCAGCCTTCCAGAATTGGGCTTGAGAAATAAGATGAAATCCCTTCTGCAGTGTATAAACATCAAGGCAAAAGGCAAAGGGCACAAAGACTCCAATTTTTTGACAGTTGCAAAAATGGCCAACACTAGGAGAAAAAAGGTAGGAAAAAAGTTGGCTTCAGCCAAAATTCCCATGAAGCAAACTAAGACAGAGAAGAAGACAAGCGGGGTCCTCAAAGCCCAATCTCCCCACATTGAGATGCAAGTGGACCTGGCCTTCTTGTATGGCTCCCATTTCCCAAACATTAAGCTCAGGCACCGCTCCTGTTGCCATCGATTCTACTCTGCCTCAGGCTTGGGCCACCCCTGCCACTGCCCTCGACACTGTCCTCAAGTGGTTTGTGCCACCCAACCAGGAACACACCCTAACTCTCAACTCTCACCTCAGAGGGAAATGCTGGCCTGCTCAAGAAGACCCAGAACAGTTGAAGGATTTTATAGGCTCCTCCATGTCTGCAACCCTTGAAGGGCTAGCTACTGTCCTTTTCATTAATGTGAAGGTAGGGCCAGGTGCCACCCAAATACAGTCTATATCTCTAAGCAAAGAGTTGTCTGTCTGCTCCTTCCCTCCACTGTGGTGTGTTAAGGGAAGGCATGAGGGAGGCTAAAATGTCCTTCCTACCTAGGGAAGGAGCTTTAACCCAAACTTAAGGGGGCTCAGCATTCCACAGACTCCTCCCAGCCCCACCTGGGACAGTGGATGAAGGAACTTGAGCAGAGAAGGAAGGCCCTCATCTAAGTGCATTGAAGGTAAAGGTCAGGCTTGAATTCTATCATGGCTTCCCATGGTATCCTTGGGCCCAGAGGAGCAATGGGGACATGAGGATAGTGCTGACATGAAGAAGTGTCTGGGAGTCCCACAGGCAAAATTCACTGTTGACTTCTATCTATGGCCACATCTGGAGAGGAGCTTTTTAGAGAAGTGCCACATGCTCCAGCCTTGAGGAGGTGCTTTGTGTTTATCAAAAGCATGTAGCTAATGTGGCAGACTGTCAAAAGCAAGTGATAGAATTTCCCCATCTCTGCTCCCTCTTGGTTATTGGTTAGAGCTTTCTCAAGAACTCATCTGGGAGTCTGCTGTGGCTCTCTTGCCAATATCCCACCTCCACTGCCTGTCATCTGCATGGAATGAGTGAGTCCTGGAATGAAGATCACTGTAGGATATGGAGAAGGGCTTGTTTCCCACCCCCAAGGGAAGGTGGGAGGGAGGCAGGGAGGGGAGCATATAGACAGAAGTATTTGGGACAGAAACTGACCACCAGTAGCATCTGTAGCCCTGCCACAGACCTGATCTCTTAACAGTGGCCATCATACTCATATTCCCTTGACCTCCTGAAGAGATGTAAAATGGATGAAGTGGATCCTGTCCGACCATCTCCTGTTAACTGGGATGGAGTAAGTGTGGCCAAATTTCGTATTTCAGAGAAATAACTATTTGTCATTAATGGAAGTATAATGTGAAATTCTCTGCAACCCTTGTTATGAACTGGTAAAACCCAAGAGAAAAACTGAGATGCAAGCTGAGATCTGACCAGGGCATATAAGGGAACAAAGCCAATTTTACTTGTACTCAAAAGAACCTGGAGCCAGGAAGCCAACCCAAGGCCCAAGTGATTTGGGGAGAATTAATTAAATCTGAGCTTCAATCTGCTTGCCTATAGTGTGATAAAAGGGAAGTGAGTTCTGGGAAAATCCACAAACAGAAGGGGTTTTCTAAACTATCTGGGCTTGTCAAGTTACCATCAGCAGTTTGTACTTGGCCCCACTGCTGTGTGTCATTTCTACACCACCTACACCTGGGATCCTTCTCCACTTACTTCTTTTCTACCAGCCTTGCCTCCTTGGGAAAAAAAAAATGTACATATATATGTATATTTTAATGTATTTCATGTGTATTATATGGTGTTGAACTTAATCAGCTAGATCCCCTCCCAGGATCTACCTGGTGCCTCTCGGTGACTTCCCCAGATGATGACTCCTATCGTTTCCCCAACCAAAGACTGAATCATATAAGCCTGCCAGCTCCAGTCTTTGATTCCTGTCATCCTTTCCCATCCATTAATGTCCCATCACATTTCAGAAAGCACCAGAACTATTCACCTTGACTGTCAAAAGAAAACTTTAAAGGCTTTTGGAAAGTGTCCTGTCCCATTAACCAGACACAAAAAGTGGCCCAGAATCTAGAATTTAATAGTACATATGAGTCTCTAGTAATAAGATAGCTGAGCAGAACAAAAATGGGACTGTGGCCATAGCTCCTATTTCAGAGAAATAACTTTGTCATTAATGGAAATATAATGTGAAACCCTTGATGTGAAACCCATGTGTTTTTACTGTTTTCAGCCCAAATGTGTGACCCTTGGAGAGGATGCAGATTTTAAGGTCAAAGTTACAGGATGGAATGTAGAAAAAAATCATCAGAGTTAGAATCTTAACTCTGACATTTGACAAGTTACTTAACATTTCTGAGCCCTAGTTTCTTCATCTGGGAAAGGGGGATAACTGGACATCCATACCCCAAACCTCAGTTACTATTAACATACTGGTGATTCCCAAAGCCACTTCTCTATGCTAGTCTTTCCTCTGAGTCCCAACTGTAGAGCCAATAATTGGGGGCAAATTCAAAATTTCCAAATACACTCTACCCCATCAAACCACTTTCCAATGTCAGGGAATGGTATCACACTACACATCCACTTTTTTGCTCAGACCATACATCAAGTCAGTCACTGGTCTGAACAATTACTACAGTGTCTTATATACCCAGGGTTTAGGATAGACTGGCACACAGTAACGCCTTATTAGTACTTGAGTCCAAAGTCTGGACTGAGGAGGCAGGTCAATTATTACATTCATGTGGGTGAGTGCTATGGTGTGTGGGGTCCTGCCATAGGAGGAAGTACTCAGCTGATGAGAACCCTAGGGTCACACAAAGGGGTCATAATAAAAATCACCCTCAGAGGCATTTATATTCAATAATTAAAACATTGAGTACTTACTATGTGAAAGGAACTATGCCAGACACAAGAGTCACCAAGACTGTCCCAAGTTACCACCAGCAGTTTGTACTTGGAGATCATTATCTTATTGGGTAGAAAGTCTCACATGCTCAAATTGTCTAATTAACATATACACTTGGATGTCCAATATTCATCGCAAAGTGAACTTCTGATTCTCTGTACCTCCCCCGCTCCTCCTCACCACCCAGTCATGCATACCAAACCTGTTCCCATTGTAGTATTTCCCAGATTCGTTAATGGCACCTGTCTCTTGCCAGTTGTTCAGGCCAAAAACATTGGTGTCATCTTTGATATATTATCTCTTTAACAGTCCACATCCAATTCATCAGAAAATCTTGTCTCTACCTTCAAAATGAATTCAGAACATCACCACTTCTTACTTTCTCTACTGCTAAAATTATTGCAATAGTATAACTAATCTCCCTGCTTCTAACTGGGACTATACCTCCAACAGTCTGTTCTCAACACAGAATCCTGATGGTCCCCTGGGAGGGTCCTGGCTATAGATGATTGGTTGATTGATTGATTGATTGATTGATGTATATAAAACCATGAGACCAGATAAGGTCAGTTAGAAAATGAGAGTAAGTGAAGGAGAGATCTAAGGACTAGGCTCTTATGTTAAGAAATTGGTGGGGGGGAGGAGAGACAAGTAAGCAGAGGAGACTGAGAAGCCAGGGAGGAAGGAGGAAAACTAGAAGAATATGTGATGCTGGAAGCCAAAACAGAAAAGAATTGCAAGGAAAATGCATGAAAAGTTATGAATTGACCAAGTAAGATGATGGACTCATGTTTGGCCAATTAGATTTAGCAACATGGAGATCACTTATGGCATTGAAAAGAACGGACTCAGGTGAATGGGGGAGGTGTCGGTGTAACTGGAGTAAATTCAAGAGAATGGAAAGGGAGTGATTGGTGATAGAAAGTATAATCAATTCTTTCAAGGAGGTTGGTTCCACAGAGGTGCAGAAAAATGAGGAAATAGCTGTAGGAGGAAGTGAGACCCAGAGAGGGTGGTTGTTTTTTTAACATGAGAGACATAGCATATTGAATGTTGCTGGAAAGGACAGAGTCAGGAGGAATAAACTGATGATGCAGGAGAGCAAGGCAAGAACTCCAAGAGCAATGTGGCATGGAGGTAAGTGATGGGAGCTAAGGCCCAGTCCAGGGGGTGGTCTTGGCTAAAAGTGCAGACACTTTGCTGCTGGCAAGTATAAAGAAGGTAGCACAAATGAGGGAGGACTTTTTTAGCTTAGAAGAAGGGTTTCTTTCACATGTAGGAGTGTGGACAAAAACCAAAAAGAGTGAGAGAAGAGCTGCAAAGGGACCACGGCTGTGGGTGGAGGAAGGGATATGAAGGACAGAAACCAAAAGCTACAGAGGTGGAGATGGATTCTGGAAGTTATCATGGCAACTATTAGAGTCTAAGGAGTGTGTGTCAAATTAAAAGAGTCCAGGTGGGCACAAAAAGATGAAGTTGCTGATCGCGTGTGTGAAGCAGGTGCTCTTGGAAGACTAGAGCAGCAGGAGAGATTGCAGAGAAGTTCTAGATGTATGGAGAGCAAGTGTGGCATCTTAGTGTTCAGCAATGGACAGTGGAGTTTGGGGGGTAGGGGAGGAGAGAACTGGGAAGCAGAAAGACAAAGAGGCTGCCCTGACTGAATAGGATGNAAGGTGGGAGGGAGGCAGGGAGGGGAGCATATAGACAGAAGTATTTGGGACAGAAACTGACCACCAGTAGCATCTGTAGCCCTGCCACAGACCTGATCTCTTAACAGTGGCCATCATACTCATATTCCCTTGACCTCCTGAAGAGATGTAAAATGGATGAAGTGGATCCTGTCCGACCATCTCCTGTTAACTGGGATGGAGTAAGTGTGGCCAAATTTCGTATTTCAGAGAAATAACTATTTGTCATTAATGGAAGTATAATGTGAAATTCTCTGCAACCCTTGTTATGAACTGGTAAAACCCAAGAGAAAAACTGAGATGCAAGCTGAGATCTGACCAGGGCATATAAGGGAACAAAGCCAATTTTACTTGTACTCAAAAGAACCTGGAGCCAGGAAGCCAACCCAAGGCCCAAGTGATTTGGGGAGAATTAATTAAATCTGAGCTTCAATCTGCTTGCCTATAGTGTGATAAAAGGGAAGTGAGTTCTGGGAAAATCCACAAACAGAAGGGGTTTTCTAAACTATCTGGGCTTGTCAAGTTACCATCAGCAGTTTGTACTTGGCCCCACTGCTGTGTGTCATTTCTACACCACCTACACCTGGGATCCTTCTCCACTTACTTCTTTTCTACCAGCCTTGCCTCCTTGGGAAAAAAAAAATGTACATATATATGTATATTTTAATGTATTTCATGTGTATTATATGGTGTTGAACTTAATCAGCTAGATCCCCTCCCAGGATCTACCTGGTGCCTCTCGGTGACTTCCCCAGATGATGACTCCTATCGTTTCCCCAACCAAAGACTGAATCATATAAGCCTGCCAGCTCCAGTCTTTGATTCCTGTCATCCTTTCCCATCCATTAATGTCCCATCACATTTCAGAAAGCACCAGAACTATTCACCTTGACTGTCAAAAGAAAACTTTAAAGGCTTTTGGAAAGTGTCCTGTCCCATTAACCAGACACAAAAAGTGGCCCAGAATCTAGAATTTAATAGTACATATGAGTCTCTAGTAATAAGATAGCTGAGCAGAACAAAAATGGGACTGTGGCCATAGCTCCTATTTCAGAGAAATAACTTTGTCATTAATGGAAATATAATGTGAAACCCTTGATGTGAAACCCATGTGTTTTTACTGTTTTCAGCCCAAATGTGTGACCCTTGGAGAGGATGCAGATTTTAAGGTCAAAGTTACAGGATGGAATGTAGAAAAAAATCATCAGAGTTAGAATCTTAACTCTGACATTTGACAAGTTACTTAACATTTCTGAGCCCTAGTTTCTTCATCTGGGAAAGGGGGATAACTGGACATCCATACCCCAAACCTCAGTTACTATTAACATACTGGTGATTCCCAAAGCCACTTCTCTATGCTAGTCTTTCCTCTGAGTCCCAACTGTAGAGCCAATAATTGGGGGCAAATTCAAAATTTCCAAATACACTCTACCCCATCAAACCACTTTCCAATGTCAGGGAATGGTATCACACTACACATCCACTTTTTTGCTCAGACCATACATCAAGTCAGTCACTGGTCTGAACAATTACTACAGTGTCTTATATACCCAGGGTTTAGGATAGACTGGCACACAGTAACGCCTTATTAGTACTTGAGTCCAAAGTCTGGACTGAGGAGGCAGGTCAATTATTACATTCATGTGGGTGAGTGCTATGGTGTGTGGGGTCCTGCCATAGGAGGAAGTACTCAGCTGATGAGAACCCTAGGGTCACACAAAGGGGTCATAATAAAAATCACCCTCAGAGGCATTTATATTCAATAATTAAAACATTGAGTACTTACTATGTGAAAGGAACTATGCCAGACACAAGAGTCACCAAGACTGTCCCAAGTTACCACCAGCAGTTTGTACTTGGAGATCATTATCTTATTGGGTAGAAAGTCTCACATGCTCAAATTGTCTAATTAACATATACACTTGGATGTCCAATATTCATCGCAAAGTGAACTTCTGATTCTCTGTACCTCCCCCGCTCCTCCTCACCACCCAGTCATGCATACCAAACCTGTTCCCATTGTAGTATTTCCCAGATTCGTTAATGGCACCTGTCTCTTGCCAGTTGTTCAGGCCAAAAACATTGGTGTCATCTTTGATATATTATCTCTTTAACAGTCCACATCCAATTCATCAGAAAATCTTGTCTCTACCTTCAAAATGAATTCAGAACATCACCACTTCTTACTTTCTCTACTGCTAAAATTATTGCAATAGTATAACTAATCTCCCTGCTTCTAACTGGGACTATACCTCCAACAGTCTGTTCTCAACACAGAATCCTGATGGTCCCCTGGGAGGGTCCTGGCTATAGATGATTGGTTGATTGATTGATTGATTGATTGATTGATTGATGTATATAAAACCATGAGACCAGATAAGGTCAGTTAGAAAATGAGAGTAAGTGAAGGAGAGATCTAAGGACTAGGCTCTTATGTTAAGAAATTGGTGGGGGGGAGGAGAGACAAGTAAGCAGAGGAGACTGAGAAGCCAGGGAGGAAGGAGGAAAACTAGAAGAATATGTGATGCTGGAAGCCAAAACAGAAAAGAATTGCAAGGAAAATGCATGAAAAGTTATGAATTGACCAAGTAAGATGATGGACTCATGTTTGGCCAATTAGATTTAGCAACATGGAGATCACTTATGGCATTGAAAAGAACGGACTCAGGTGAATGGGGGAGGTGTCGGTGTAACTGGAGTAAATTCAAGAGAATGGAA